CTCAACTTCCCAAGAGCACCTCTCTGCGGCAACTCGGTCTCAACTTGTCTACTGACCTAAGATGGAACAAATACATTGAGTCATTTGTTTCGTCCACCGCAAGAAAAGTTGGCTCCCTGTGCCGCGCCAGGAAATTTTTCTCCCCGGAATCGATCCTTCAAATCTACAAATCAACCATTCGCCCTTGCATGGAGTATTGCTGCCATATATGGTCTGGAGCCCCTACTGTTTGCCTCGGAGTTCTTGATAAGATCCAGAGACGGATATGTAATATAATTGGCCTTGATCTGGCATCTCGTCTGCAGTCACTCTTTCACAGAGACGCCGTCGCCTCTCTCTGTCTTTTTTACAGATACTTTCATGGTAATTGCTCCGATGAGCTGCTTTCACTGGTTCCCAGACTCCATGAATTCAAGCGCCCTATGAAGCTGACATCCCGCTCTGACCCTTTCACTGTCGAAACTGTTAAATGTAGCCGCCTCTTCTACTCCAGTAGCTTCATATCTCGCTCCTCTCGCCTGTGGAACTCCCTTCCCTATTCCTGTTTCCCTGATAGCTATAATCTCCAACTATTCAAATCTAATGTCAATTGTTATCTCCAGTTGCCTTGATCTATCCACTATCCTTCTCCTCATCCTTTCCTCTATCACTCCTATCTGATCTTACTCCAAATCTTCTGTAACCCCTTGCATCCTAGTGGCTTCCCGCCTTGCTAGGGGTGAAATGCTTAAAAAAAACACCATGAAACGTAATGTTCATAAGTAAGAACATTATTATTAATTTATCTTATTTAAATATAAAATAATTCTCTACACTTTTAAGATTGTGTCCGCCAACAATAAATCGTGGTAATGCTTCAAGTTCACTCAGCAGCAACTTGCAGTAAAGATTGAATAAGTTCAGTGTTGGGGCGCACCCACCTTCTAACTAGAAATGGACTGGTACCTCTTATATAAGTCAGCTCTAGAGAGAGGACGAGAGAGCGAGAGACAGAGCGTCAGCAGTCCAGATAAGGTTACCCGTTACATACCGTGGGACTATAGACTTTGGATATTGTTTTGTACTAACCAACCTTCGTTTTACTAATCACTCTATTGTTAATTGCTTTTACAAATATACCAGTATTTTCCTCTACAACTGTGTTTGTCTTGATTCATACACCGACACGCGGGAAACTCACAACAACTCAACATTCAGTGAGAAGATACATCCTTGTCTTGCATGCCTTTCTATCTGTATGTGGCCGAATGGTTAGAACGTTCGCATTCTAACCATGAGACCCGCGTTCGAATCTCCCCATGGTCGATTTGTCAGGTCGATATGTCGTACCTAGCGTGCGACACCTTTGGAAAGTGTCTGAAAACTATACCACGGACTGACCTAAGCCTTGTGAGTGATATTGGGTAGACGGAACACTTGGCCGATAGCTGTTCTATCACGAAGTCACAAGTCAAGTGACTTGTTGATCACTCTAGCTAACACGCTCTTTCCCAGAAACTGTAACTAAGTTCTGCTCAGCATAGTTGCAGTATAAACCACAGATGTTGAATAAACACAAATGTGCCTGAGCAAGCGTCTGCTAGCCGCCCTAGTAGACGGGTATCCTCGAATAAGTGTGGCCAGTTATACATTTACTGAATTCATTTTCAATCCGTATGCAGGTGGTTTACTCCAAGTATAGGTTTTAGATTATTCCAATATTCTTCCGAAATAAATCAATTTCACCTGACAGTTCAAATAGTTCTTTGTGTTGTACATTATCAAACGTTTTTGTATAATCTATAAAACATGGGTATACAGCTGTATTTGTATTGCTCTTTCTGATATCATTCTGAGTTTAAATATTATATTTCTTGTTTTAGTGTCTTTAAAGAAACCGCATTGTCTTTGTCCTGTTTTCTGTCTAATAAGTATATTATATAAACACAAAGATTGTATTCACCAATGTGAAAGAAATGAGGGGTTTTATTTAATTGTTTTTAAGTCTTAATGCCAAGATTTATTTCCAATGCATAAACTTCGATGTCAAGGCTAACTCATGAGGCGGTATTTTCTTTTAGCAAACACGGTGATTTGATTCCCTACACACTTGGTGTGAATGCAAAACATTCAAGAAATCTCTGAGAGAAAATTTAGAAAAGAAAGAGATAGATTTTTAAAGGGGGCGTCTTTTGTGTTGTATATATTTTATTTTGTTATTCTTGTTTTGTTTTTTGTTTTTTTTGTTTTTATTATTTATGTATTTATTTTACATAATGGCTCAAAGCGAAAATCCGAGCACAATAATTCACTTTAGCCTTTGGCAACAGGGACTACATTGGCGAGAAACTGGCTTTACGCCTGACAAACAGATGAGGGTTTAAGGGTATTTTTTCTTTCTGTTTTGTTTTGAGTTTTGTTTCTAGTTTGTTTGTTTTTTTGTTTTTTTTTTGATGTTTTTTGTTTTTTTGCTTTTGTTTTTTCCCCGTTGTTTGCTGTAAAATCACTTCCAAGATCCAATGTCATTTCCCAAGAAAATTGAGGCTAAAAGAAATGAATAAATAGTTGTTGCTACCCGTCATGCATTTCCACCGAACAGGAAGTAAACAGGACAGCACAAAAACAAAAATTGTAAAAAGAGAAAAATAAAAGATAAAATGAAAGCACGTCAGAAGGAAAGGAAGGACGAAAATCAAAAAATAAGCAGATAGAAATTTAAGGAATGATTAATAAATACATTTAAATATGGGGGTGCGATGGGTAAATTGTCGTCTAAATTAAGAAAAAAAAATAACATTGACATCTCATTTTAACAAATATATTTTTTTTTTCTCGTCAGAATCCATCATGTACATTTATAAATTCGTCCGTGCATTAAATACAACAGTCATATCTGGACTGGTGCTGCTGTTGTATATCTCCAGATTCTTGACAAAATCCAAAGAAAGGTCTGTAATGCAATCGATCCTGACCTGGCATCTCGACTCCAGTCACTTTCTCACAGACATAGCATGACTTTCTTCTGTCTTTTCTACAAATATTTTCATGACAATAGATCGTTTCCCCTAATGCTTCGATCACATGAAATTAAGCGTTGCTACTAGACTGGAAACTAGGTTGAAATATTTTTACTATTGAAACAGCAAGATGCATCCGTAAGTTCTATTCTAACAGTTTCTTTTCTCGCACTTCTCGCTTGTGGAACTCTCTTCACGCTTCTAGTTTTCCTGTCTCTCACAATATTCCAATGTTTAAATGCAACGCCAATCGCCATCTTTTGCGTTCTAGAACTCAATTCTTTTATTCTCTCCTCACTTCTCAGTATAGTCTTCTATTTCGGATTCACTCCTTGTGACACTTTGTACTAGTTGTCTTATCACCTTCCTAGGGGTGAAATGATAAAAAAACACATTTGCATAGTTTTGTATATAATTAAATTTAATATAGGCGCAAATCTAGTCTTTAAAAATTGATTTTCCCGGGGTTCTTTTTACCCGTTTGACGTCTACGCATGCGTATCAGTTTCACGCAACATTTTCAACATATTATCATTTTTTTATATCAAAAATGAAATTACACATGAGTTTTACGTTCTTTAAGAAGAAGGATACTGCGAATGGTCGAACGTATCAAAAATACCAGTCTATATTTTTGAGATGGGATACTGTAATTATTTACATTATTTATATTGTTCGGACTGTTGTTTTTATCTTTATTGCCATATTCACGACGATTCGGCCTTTGTATGCTCCGGCCTTCTTCATTGGTCGAAATTCCCTCAAGGACACGTGGCCCCAATGGATAAAGGTGTTGGTTGGATCCAGTGACTTGACCCAAAGAGGTGTGAGTTCAATACCTTGCTAATACAATGGTGAACAAAACCTTGGAGAGTTGAGTTAAAGAGAGATAACTGAGACATCCGGAAGAGGCATGACACGTAGAACTAGAACAGTCTCTCCCGATGGATGAAATAAATGGTTCATTTCGAAATTCCAATCCTGAAGAAGTGAATATAGCAATGAAGATGAGGACAACAGTACGAACAATGTAAATAATGTAAACGAGTGTCAATATGTAAATAAGTATCGAAAATGGTTGTCAAAGTTTCGTGATGGCGATTTCTAAAAAAAAACAATGATTCACGCTCAAGTAGACGAGTCGCGGATGACAATAATGAAATGAATACATTTTTTTTTTCCTTTTTTTATGAGCTGAGTCCGTTTGGAATGTGGGTGATTATAGAGCATCACAGCTTCCTGTTCTAAGCAGCGTTTATCCCTTACAATCCTTCTCAGCCACTGATCTGCCATCCCTTTACACAAACTCGTTTGGTTGGTTATTCATTATCTCGCTGTGTCTCTTTTGCCCTGTTGTGGATTCCGGGGATGGAATTCGGCTCAAATAAATAACAACGCCAGTAATAGAAATAGGAAAATATGTGTATTAACGTAAAGGATATAAAGTGAAAGGAAGATTAGTAGTCCAGGAATGCGGGTTAGTAGAAAAATATATTTACAAGTCTCTGTAATGGAAGCCGTAATTATCACTCTTTTTGGACTCTCGTAACTCTGAGTGAACACCCTGTGTCAACCTCCCCTGTTGTCACGCTATCTCTCCGTAGTATAAGTATACATTGGACGAGTCCATTTTGTGTACAAGGGGTGAGCCCCACAATATGCCCTCAGTCTGTTAGTGAGTGTTTAATTATTTCAGCCCTCTTTCTTCTTTATATACCCTAGAAATATCACGTTCTGATTGTATGTATGAATATTATTTTTGTTGCCATTTTCCAAGAATGCATGGTTCTGAGTCCACTGTTTGAGATACGTATTGGGAACGTGAACATCAATTAAGTATAAAACATTTACCAAACTATGTAATCTCAAACTACGGAAAGTGATGCATAGAAATCCGAACGCGCATAGGAATAGCAAATATGTCTTCCAGAAACTAAGCAATGTATTAAGACATAGGAAAATGTTGTTAGAAACAATGCTGAAATGCTATACAATATCGAATACCTCAGTATTGTCATATAAGATAGATAGATAGATAGATAGATAGATAGATAGATAGATAGATAGATAGATAGATAGATAGATAGATAGATAGATCATGTGAGCAGTAAGAACATTTTAAATAAATGAAGCTACAACAAAAAAACAAATAAATACTTTCAGTCAGAAAGAGAGAATAGAAATTTCGGGGACACATAATGAAATAAAAATGGGGCTTCATAATATGACACATAATATGCTGAAGATATGAGAAACACAGAGAAACAAGGTGTAATTCAGTCGTTTCCAAAGTTGTTAGAGCTGCCGTCTCCTTGTGTGCCAAAACACAACCCTACCCCCATCCCAATATATAGTCAATCTTTGATTGGATTTTCTTGGTACTAGTATTGCATTCCAAATGACTATTTTAGCATTTCTTGTAATAATTGTTAAATAAATGGGTATGCTGTAAAGAGGAAGAAATGTAAACTTTATGTACAACTAGCAGCATGGCTCGGTGTTGCCTGTGCTTGATTCAAAAATCGTACGTCTCATACAGCAATCGCTATCACTTGACTTAAAATATTTTTGCCCCTTCCTTTTTTTTAAAGGAGTGCCCTTTTCCGTGCTGATGTTGCTACATGCCTTACTTCTTGCCTATCTCACACTGCGAATTTTTTCTAAGCTCTATACTAAACATTAAATCTGTTACGAAAAAAGAACTAAACAAAATGAACACAAAACGATCAGCTTAAAAAAAAAGGACTCGTAATTGGAAAAACCGAATGAAAAAAGAATGTTAACAACAAATACTTTTTCACACCCAACCCAATTCTGCGGAATCAGAATCAGTGTTGAGTTTAAGCAAGCGAATGGGCCAATTGAACTAAAGTGCCATGCAGATTTAAATGTTTCCCACTTGTGACGAATACAGGAATCGATTTTTTTCGCATGCTACTTAACATTCGTGTCAGTCAGCTGTTGGCTCTCACGCTAGCCAATAGAATCTTCCTGCCTGTTCGTGGCAGCCAGCTATAGGCTCTCACTCTGGCCAGTACAAAATGGCCGCAAACTACATAAAAATTACCGTAGAAGCATGAGTTGGGAAATACAAAGTCGGTCTTGGTCTTCACACTAACTTGGAGCATGTACATGTAAATTTTGGTGCAAATCCGTCAAAAATTGCGGCTGTGCATTCATTACACACACACACACACACACACACACATTCTGCCTTTTATAGATAGAGATGCGTGTGTGGTGTTTGTTCTGCTCAGAGGTGCCACTGCTACTCTCTTGCTGCCCGCATTTTTTCTCATCGCACCCAGGGAGGGGGACGGTATCACCCACTTTGGGAATCGCTGGTGTAACCTAATTAACAATTTCGTTTAAACGGATTGGAGATCAAGGAGAAAGTGGGATCGTAATAAGTCAATTGGGAGCAACAAAATACAGAAAGTTGTGGAGAGCTGTGGTCTTGCAATTCGTGAAGAGCCACGGCAGATAAAAGAAGTAAACACGTTTTAATGACTCATAAAAAATCAGCACAGAAAATAAAGTCTAATTCAAGCATAAGCAACTTAAAATGTCCATTTTCCGTTATTCACAACGAAAACGCTTGTACATTTGGTCGGACATCTTGTCTGAGGAAAGAAAATAGAAAGTTGATGCGAGGAAAAAATGTCAGCTTATCAGATGATAAAGATAGAGCATTCGATTTAAGTAGATGATGGAAAAAGGGCGGAAAAAGGTCGTAGCATTTCCATGGTATTAAGACGAGAAAATAAAAGAATCCTTGAAAAGCCTAAGATGCGGATCAGCGTACAAGAAAGCGAGGGGTGCCAAATGAAATATATAATGAATGAAGCAGAGAGATAGAAATCTGACGAAAAGAATCCCGAGACAGATTAGAAATGGCAAATTGTAAGAACACAAATATATTGGTTTATGGGTGTGTGTTGAAGAAGAAAAAAGATACAAGGAAAGAAATCAACAAAAAGGAAGAGAAAGACGATGACAATGACAAAAATAAGGAAGGGTCTTTTTAAGTGAATAACCAAGACAAATGACAGCCATAAGGGAAACATAAAGACGGAAGTATAAAGAGTTTCCTATCTTATCACGAGACAAATATATAATTCGGTGTTTTGGTTGTTGGAGGGAATAGAGAAGAAAAATAGCCCCGCCTTTTGTCATATTACATCTGATAAGAAAAACAAATCTTGCTTGGACGAGTTGCCATTATAACTTAAAACACAGTGACAACGGGCAAGATAACATTCAGAAGAGAAGGCAACAGAAATTCGGATGAGATAGCAAAAAAAAATAAAAATAAAAACGGGATGGTCCTTTTAATGAGATTGATGAAGGGGAGAAGGAAACACACAAATTTAGTCAGCAAATTAATCCAACGAATAAAGCAAATAAAATGGGCATATGATCGCTTCTTATTCATAACCGTTACAATATTTAATACTAGTGTGGAAGAAAGAACACTTAACGGAGCGGGAATTGCGATCGGAAAGCCAAGTTCATATTCCGAGTTAGATTATTTATATCAAATACCTCCTTCGAAAAAATAACTTTAATACGTTATCTTCTCCCTCAGTGCCTAGTTATATTTTAAATAAAAGATGGGGCTCTCTAGCCTTGTTTGTCAACCGGTCTATGAGATGTTAGTCAGTGATACACGCTTAGGCGAGCATGTATCTTTCAATATATGACTGACGAGGCAGATTTTTTCCCGCAGTAGGTTGCCATTTTTTCTGTGGTAGACCAGTTGCCATCTAAGTCTATAGAATCCGGTCTGTCCTGCTATTTATCCATAGCTCGTGGGAGGGAGAAGAAGAAGATTCATACCTTTCCCAAGGGTATTAGCACGTAAGTGAATTTCAGTCACTTATATGCCATACGTGATACACGCTTAGGCGATCATGTATCTTTCGATATATGAGTGACCCGCAATACATTTTATAGTATAATTACCAAAAATACATTTTATAACAAAATAACTAACAATACTTTTTATCTGTAGTTGAAGCCATAAAATTGTGTTCAAAATACATTGATTTCCGCATTAAATAACCCATAAAGATTGATATGCCTCTGAACAAAACCAACCAACCAAAAAACCTGAATTCAAGTCAATGGACAAGTCAGCAGGTAATAAACTAATTTTATTTCTCAAGAACACTATGCAGTTTGTGGATAAGAATAAAAGAAGCTGTGGAGAGCTGTGATTTCCTATGCCCTGAAGATAGATGAGTATTTAGAAGAGAATAATCATCATCCATTAACTTAATCAGTTCCAATACTGGGTGTGGTTGCTGAGTAATTGATCACCTGACCACTTCTCTGCATACATCTGGGTTGAGAGCCTAAGAGGTATTCATTCATGCGTAGATTGGTCTGGGCAACTATACCTGACGGGGACCATCCCTCTCAAGGCCAAACCACAGCCGACAACTTCAAATTTCTCCTTGGCCGCTGATTCTATTGGGGAGGACAGCCTTCCATCCTGGTCGTTGTCATTAGTCTAGAAAGCCCTCCACCCAGCGATGCCGGCACTGACTGCATGAATGACTATGGGAACCCAGTTTACAACGTTGTGCTAGATAAGCTATTGATCCTACAAGAAGGTTTATAGACCCTTTAACAAGTCATCTTTTTAATTCTGCTGCCACCTTCCTCACCCTAAAAGTCTACAGGGGAAACTGATTTAATCACCGATGCAGGTTTTACTATACGAGTGGCAGTCATAGAGAAACCTGACAATAAGGAAGATAATAAACTATTTAACACTCTTAGTCTTGCACAAGGTCATTAAAATTAGAGCTCTAATATCCTGACATCTGAATGGTTTTGTTCCATTGTTGAATCTTCAAAACGAGAAGTCAACATTCAGATTTTCCGTGACAGCTGAACAAATCCATGAAATGAACATGGATATCGTTGGTAATCACTCAAACTTGTCATTTGCTTACTTTATTTTGTTTGAATTTAAAACTTGCAATATGTATTTGGATGTGCGGGTGGTGTAATGGATACCAGCTCGAAATGAGGGTTCGTTATATTCTCAGAAATAACGTTGGGGAACGTATGAATCTATGTCATGTCCCCACCCCCCAGTGGTGTGTCGAATAGTAGTACAGACTGTATCCTGTAGCCTTGGGTGGCCACAGAAAGAAACGGCAACCTACTGCGGGAATATCTTCTGTCTCGTTAGTCATTAATCGAAAGAGACATGATCGCCAAAGCGTGTTTCACGTATGGACTTGACTGACTCAATTTGACGTTGGAGAAGTTAAATGTAAATATATTTACATGATTTAATCTTATTCCGAATCAGGACTAAATTGACGGAAAGAAAATTGCGCCAAATTTTCGAGGGACGGTTCTAGCACTAAGAAATTACTGTTGCCAATATGAAACAAACAACTAATTCAACCAACAAGCAAGACTCTGTGACAAAGATAAGCATAAAGACCAAAACAATTAAAAATTGACTTTGCTTAATATATCTGAATGGCATTGATATAGAAATTAAAAATCTGAATGCTACCTGCTATATAATATCAATTCTCCTATACGGTAAGGAATGCTGAAGATTTTCCTCAGCGATTAAGAGTAGACATGGATTTTGGGAATACCATGGAAGCATTTGAGTAAAGAGGATGTTTTAAGGAAAATGGGGGAAAAAAGACTTAGAATTAGAATAAGAAAAGACAGTTGAAATTTCTGGAACACATAATGAGAAAAGAGGGCTTAGGATAAATTGGAGGCAAACGAGGGAAATATCGAGTCACCTATATAACGAGAATGTGTAAATGGATGATATAACAGTGATGAAAGAGATGGCAAGGAGATAAACATTGCTCTGAGCACCAAAGGACAGGAAATTATGGAGAGCTATGATTGGCCACGTCGTAAAGGGACACTGTACATAAAAGAATGGAGGAAGAGAGTGGTGTAGTGGTTACCGCCATAGAATACGACGAACTGAGTTCTAATTTGGGCCGTGGCTGCTGGCGTTTAAAAGGATCTTGGAAATGACATGAATTCACTTCCCCTTGAATTCTCTTGTATATATATCTTGATAACAATAATATACCTCGGTAGTTCATATTGTAAACAAAATTTGGCTAGGCACTTGCGCATAATTTTTATTTTACTAAATGTTGACACAATAGAAAGCTCAAGAGCGACTCAACGTAAAAGGTTACTGAATGAGGTTGTTTTTCAGACATATTGGGAAGAATTAAGTGCAGATTGTGAGGATATGTAGGATAGAAAACGGTTAACTCTAGACTTGTTGGGGTTAAGATTGTAGTGATCGGTAAAGCATAATCTCGGTAGACTGCTATACAAATTAGAGGTTCCCCGGAAGAATCAGAGTCTCTGGATTACTTACGAGGCTCTGTAATATGAAAAAGTAAACGGACAAAGCGTTTGTATTTTTATATTTTTAAACATTTCACAAAGGCGGGAGTGCCACTAGCAGATTACATAGAGTAAAGGTCAGAAAAAAAAACTGTGTAAAGAGAGAATGAGGAAAGGATAAAAGATGAACGGTGTTCAAGACATCATAGATGACGATTCACGCTGCACTTAAATTTTTGAAGATTGTAGTTATCAGGGAAGCGAGTAAATGGAAGGAAGTTCCACAGGCGGAAAGTGCGAGAAAAGAATCCGTTGGAGTAGAAATGGCGGTCATATTTAACTATTTCAGCGGTAAAAGGGTGGGTCCGAGATGCTAGCCTAGTAGCACGCTTAAATATATGTAGTCGGGGCGCCAAGGAAAAAAAGCTCGTCAAAGCAGTTGACATGAAAATATTTGTAGAAAAGACAGAGGGAAGCCGCACCACGTCTGCGAAAAAGCGACTGAAGTCGAGAATCCAAGTCAGGATCGATTACATTGCAGATCCTTCCATGGAATTTTGTTGAGAACCTCGAGATAAACAACAGGGGCACCAGACAAGATCAATGCACGGACGAATGGTAGATTTGCAGATATGTAAGATGGACTCTGACGAGAAAAAAAACTTCTGGCACAACACAGTGAGCCAAGTTTAATAATTCGGAGAAGTAAACCAGCATTAAAAGATAAAGAAATGAAAAATGATAAATTACGGAGACCAGTAGCCAGTTGTTATCTAGGCAGCGATATATTGAGTCAGAAATGGATTTACTAGAAGCTGGTAATTAACAACGTTACGGGAAATTAATGTATGATCGCATATCGATAAATTTTCAGGTGAAAAACAACCTGTGCGCGCTGAGAAAAAAAAAAACAACGTTCGACAAGGCCGAGTATATATGTCGCGATCCCCAGTGGAAAATACACAACTATTTTGTTAGCGAGATGAACAGGATTGGCACCGTTTCTAGTATTTTTTTTTTTTTACTTCAGCCTAACACAACGCTAAATGAGTTGAAAGACTGTCTTGCGCTAATTTCCCCAGTGGAGCCGAAATTTCAGACTTGAACATCATTCGTAATATCCCATACTAGAACACAGTAAAATTAAATTGAAATATTATGTTGCGCTATTTTACAAAGTGGATCCGAAGTTTCTTGTTGGGATATCATCATTTGAAACTAACTCATTTACGACACAGACCACCGTTGATAAACTTAGTTTGCCGTTGATAGACACGCTACTACCTCAGCCACGAAGTCGACTACTTAACCGAGTTTTGGGTTTCAGCCATTCTTAAGCCTATTTATGCAATGGAAATTGAAACGTTTTATCACATGTTTAACAGACATTTCCTACGGCAAACTGGATGCAATTAAAATTATCCATATTTCATACTGGCTTTTCTAAATGAATCTCTCTCTGGTTATTACAGGAAATGAAAAATTAGCGAAACCTGACAAGATTTCAGATAAATTAGAACAGAACAGAAAATAATCGACATCAATAATAATAATAATAATAATAATTATTATTATTATTATTATTATTATTATTATTGTTATTATTATTATTATATAAAGATAGAAGATGAATATAAAGAAATATATTTTTAAAAGTCAATATCTGCTGTTTCAACTTTTTGCCGAATGAAATTAAGTTTTGTTTATTTTGTTTTGTTTTTTTTTTGTTTTTGTTTTTTGTTTTTTTTCTCCAGCAACTTCATCTCCAAGAAAAAGAAAGAAAGCTAACAGAAAGAAAGGAAAAAAAAATAGAAACTTATCTGGCCGTTTACATTCTGCGACGTGTTTGCATTGGACGGTCCGAACTATGAATTTACTCTTGAGAAGTTATCTACACGCAATGCACAAACTGTTATTGCGATGCAGCAGGCTTGATTCAATTTCTCTCTGCCCGACATTTCGCCACACTATAATTTCGTTAGTGTTCGCCGCACGTCCAGAATAATTCATCTACTTGCTTATTCAACCATTTGTAAACGTTGAAGTAAACATTAAAAAAAAAAAACAGACCAGACATTTTCTGTCTGATTTTCTGGTATGAGGAGTTATCATTATTTACACTATTTACAAGCAGACAATTGTCTTTACCTTTTTTTGATATCCCAACGTTTCAGCCGTTGTTGCCTTCATCAGGTGTATATCGGGTATCTTACAGCGATTTCCGAACTTTACCCATTAGTTAAACTACAGTGGTAGACGGTTGTAATTCCACATCCCATGTCGAAGAATATCCCGTCCAGTTCTTATTTTTAGTACAACTCAGTTATTGCTAGCCTCGTTTCCACTGAGTCCAAGTACACACTGCCTGGAACAGGGATTGAATTCGCAATGACAATGATATTAAAATTAATGAACCAACGCTTTTTTCTCCGCTAAGACTTTTTTCTCACAGACAAAACTTCGCAAGCCTCTCACTTCTCTATCGCTGTTTCCATGGTGAGTGTTCAGATGAACTACATTCCTTGTTTCCATGAGTCCTAACCTTCACGGCTAAGACCTGCCATGTCACACACATTGTGGCGAACCACTCTCATTTCCTTCATGTCCTCCCCCTGGTGAAATGTAAGTTCCACTCAAGCGGGATCTTAAATTTATCCGTTGTAGTTCTGGAATTTGGAGCCAAACAAGCTGAGCGGAAATTGTCAGAAACGTAAAATGGCGTTAAATGTTATATGTACTTTAATATGTTGTTGCTATATTCGTACTACATTTTGTGGTGTGTTGGTGCATGGATTTTGATATAGACGGTTCGAGGTTTTTGTTTATTATTTTCATGGTGTATATATACCGGGTATAACATTTAAATTCTCCAAATCGTGTAAAAGTAAAATTGTCCATTTGTCAGATTAAGCTTTGAGCCGTTGTATCTTAGAAATGATTAAAGATATCTTACTGGAATTCTCCGAGGTTTTTATAGCACTAATGGACTCCACTTTGAACAAGCAGCTTAATAGAAGAATCTTGATGAAATAAATCATAAACGAAAATGATATATTCATCATTAATTAATCATAGCTAAGGATCAGAACATTGCTCATTTGGGAAGACAGTAGAACTGACACAAAACGATTTTAATCTATTCTATTTTTAACTGAATAACGCAAGGGGTTTATTAGTTATTCTTACGACAAATGGAGTTAAGATGGCTAAACGTCTTTTCTGGAAACCTTGAAAAAGAAAGTTTAGTGCTATTTTTTAGATATTAACCCTTTTGTGGAATGGACATGCTGTTACACGACTTGGACAATTTTGTTGTTACACCTGATATATATATATATATATATATATATATATATATAGAGAGAGAGAGAGAGAGAGAGAGAGAGATAGAGAGAGAGAGATAAGTGAGAAAAAACGTCTTTCATGTTAAGATTCGGAACGATTGATTTTTATTTAACTGTATCATTATAGGAATAAAATCTTTACAAATTTCAGTTTATTTGTTATGTTTTATTTTATTTATTTATTTGTTGCAGCTTAAGTATCCTTCTATTAGTGAAAAATGCGATATATTAAAATAGTCCCATCGCCATTAAACATGGGTATTCGTATATCATAGCACTTTCAATCGTCTGATTATTATTATTATTATTATTATTATTATTATTATTATTATTATTTTGTTAAAACTGCATTCTCCAGATAAGAATTACGATCATGAATATTTCGACGGCACAAAAGTTCAAAGGACTTGAGAGGAGTGTGAACCGATAGGCGAACCTATATATATGTAATATTATATATATATACATAAAAGTGAACATTTAAGTCAACATTCAAAGGCGATAGAATATTTCATGCTAGACGCAGCCATCAGTCTATCGCCTCTGAGTGTTGATTTCAATGTTCACTTTTATATTTACATACGCTCTATCTCTGATTCCATAAATATTGCATACCTTAAAATTATATTTCTTCATATATATATATATATATATATATATATATATATATTAACGCTTTAAATATTATGTCAGATGTGCGAAAAGTTTGCAAAATCTTCGAAAACGTAGAAAATTTATAATAAAAATAAAAAGCAAGATTAGTGGAAAAGAAAATGAAGAAGAAGAAATAGGAAAAAGGAAGAAGAAGCAAGAATTGAAAAAAAAAAGAAATGGGATAGAACAGGAAGAAGAAAAAGCAAAAAAAGAAAAGATGAAATAAGAAAGAAGAGGAGGAACAAGAACAAGCAGGAATAGAAAAGAATAAGAAATAGGAAAGAACAGGAAGGGGAAGTACAAGCTGTACGGAAATAAAGAAACAAACATGTGCCAGTCAACAAAGAAGAAAAAGAAATTATAAGAATTATCTCTTAGAAATAATTTAAAAAATGTATGAAAAAAAAGAATTAGAAAATAAAAGAAATAAAGAAACAGACAAACAGAAAAATGGAATAAAATAAAAGAATGAATGAAACATAAAAATATCGAAACATAAGAAAAAAAATGGGGAAAATTTATGAAACAAAGAAAAAGATTTAGAAATTGAAAGAAAGAAAAATTAATAAAAGAAAGAAATAAAAGAAAGAAACAGACAAAAAGTAGAAAAATATAACAAGGAAAGAAAAAACAAAGAAGAAAAAGGAAAAAAGAAGAAGAAAAGGAGGAGCAGTTAATGAAAGAAAAATCTCTTTAAAATAATAAAAAAGTATTACAAAAACTGATATTTTCAGTGCAAATCTAAGCAGTGTTTGAAAAACTAGTGACGCGTTAAGGGAAGAAAACAAAATAAAAAAAATGGAAGAAAATATAAATTTAATGAGGGTAAGAAAGAGAAGAGAGAAAATATGGAAAGATATTTGGGAGTTCTGAAATCTATAGAAACCTCTACGCTTTTATTGCTCATCCAAGAACTCCGGGCCAAAATGAGCTTAATAGATATATTTGTCGAATACGCTATCAATTATGAACGTTTGCTTGACTCGTCACTGCACTGATATCACGTGAGCCGAGAAAAGTAAATAAATTGTGCATTTATCCATATTTTATTTAATCGTATTTCTTTACATCCTACGTTTGTCCTAGTGATAGACGCGGGAAAATGGCAGAAGATATCAGAAAAGCGCCAGTCAAAATGGCGCCGTTGCCATGACATTTCAGCCAAATTTTTTGCTATAATTAATTTTATTTTGACATCTTTCGTGAAATAACTGAAAGGGAATTTTTTTGAATTTATTTTCAAAAACATAAGAAAAATTGAAACAAGAAAGGATGGAGAAAAGGTGCAGAGGAGAACGAAAGAGAAAATGGAAAGATAAAAAGGGAAAAGCAAAAAGAAGAAAGAAAAGAGGTAAAGAATTGAAACAAAAAGAAATTTTGAATGGAAATGAAACGAAAGAACAAGAGTGTATCATAAGGAGATGGCTCGAAAAGATAAATGGAAATGAGTAAAATTATAAAAGAATGTGACAGAAAGAATAATTATAAAACGAACGAGGAATGAGAAAAATAATTTAAAAATATGGAACGAGCGAACAAAAGAAAGAAAGGGAGACAAGAGGAAAGAAATAAAATATCAACGCAAAGAAAGAAAGAAAGAAAGAAAGAAAGGCTAGGAGGGAGGTAGAGAGGGAAAAATAAATTAAAAATGAAAGAAACACGAACGTCATAGAACGAAAAGCAATCAAAGAAAGAAATGAGAATAATTATAAACGAATGCGATGAAAAAGAATAATGTGAATGAAGAAGAAATTTGCAAAAAATATAAAGAAGGAAGAGACGAACGAACGAAAAAGCGAAATAGAAAAGAAAGAAAGAAAATGTAAAGAAAAACGAACAACGACAAGAAAACAAAGATAAAAAAAACAAAGAAAGAAAAAGATAAAAACAAAGAAAGAAAGAAGTGCAGGAACGGAGCTCCAAAAACACTAAATAAAAAATATCAGACGCTCAAACAAGAATAAAACAAAGACAAAAAACAGAAAAAGAAGGAAGGAAAATAAAGATAAAATTTAACAAAACATATAAGAGAACGGAAGGAAAAGAAAAAGAAGCATATAAAGAAATTAATAAATGAAACGTCCAGAGTGAATAAAAGAAAGAAATATTTGGAGAAGATATGAATGACGAAGACATTTTATTTCTCTTCTGTTGTTGAATTGCAAAAAGAAAAAAAAAGATGAAGCCGTGTATTTACGTGTTTCCCTATTCATGCCTGAATTTGGAATTGCTATCTTCAAATTACACATGTTAAAGAAAATAAAACCAGTAGAAAATGAAAGAAGGACGAGCTTGAATGAGAAAAGTTGGATCAGAGCAAAAGTCTGTAGCGAAGGAAAAAGAAAACACGAATTGACTTCGTGTCAAATTTCCAATTGAATGAAATTAAACAAAAATAGAAGAAGAAATAACGATACAAGGAGATTTGAATTAAAATGGGAAATGAAAGAAATAAAAGAAAAAAGAAAAAAAATCAACAGATTTATAATATGGCGAACAGAATTAGAATGCGAAAAATTGGAAAATATTTATTCAAGAGTAAGATAAATACAATATCCCATTACGTTTATTTTAATGTCATGTTGTTTTGAAATTTAATTTAAAAAATGTCTAATCCCTGTTTTATTGGCAGTCATTCCTATCATATTCGTATTTATTAATTGTTCACAATTTCAGAAAGCCAAAAAGAAAATGTAATTGTTATAACAATAGATGGATGTCATGAACGTGTCTCGTTGTTATCCAAAGAATAATCAAGAAAAAATACCATCGAATCTAATCAAAGTAACAACGATTTTGTTAGAAAGTAAAATAGGCTACATAAATTCGATTCAATGCCATGACAACATACGTCAAAATAGAGATTACTTTCAGTTGTAATGTGTCTATTACATAGTTGAGTTCAGTCATTCTTAGAGTAAGTCTAGCTGCAGATGACTACTGTATTGTCCCAGACGACTGCTAAATACGGTTTTTGCTGTCTCGACTTTTCTTTTGCATTAAAATACAAAAATGTGGCGCAAAGCCAAAAGGGGAGATGGGGGAAAGTTGGTCTTCTTCTTAATTAAACTTAGCTAGCTACAATCACTGACCCTACATACCACAATATTCCTTACGCCAAAACAGCACATTGTTACAAAGCATTCTTACTACATCCACCATAATACCTCAGGATATCTATGAAGACCTAACTAGTCCCCATATGTATATTTTTGTCTATAGGAGAGGGGAATAAAACGACAATTTAAAAATTTAAACCCCAATGTGTATTTACAATGTCATTATCTATTTACAAGAAACTAAATAAAATAGTATAAATAATAACCCCACCCCCCCGAAATGCTTAATTATGGCAGAAAAATCAGTTAACTGGACGAAATTAATGTGGAACTTAGAAAATCAAAACACTTATTCGTCCTACCACTCCCTCGAACACATACACATTCAAACACAAGACGAAAATCACACCCGAAATACAAAAGGCGACTAAAAAACTGACGTGTCTGGTCAACTAATGGGGGAGGAGAGAGAGGAATTAAACTAAATAAAGTGGGGGGCAGAAACAAAAGAGCCCAATGAACTTACATCCCCTACCTAAGTAAACTTTGAAAGAAGAAACTAAAGACAAACAAGAACAACTCTAAGCTAACCTAATTTTGGACTGTGTTCCCAATGTTCAATCCAGAGAGAACAATATGCCTAGGCGGCATCAAAGTGCCACTCTAAATCGGCCCCCACTTACTCGACAGATATGCGCAAGACTCACTCATATTTTGCCAAATTCTGAGCGCGGGTGATGCCGCCTTTCCGTCCTAATTAAGCTTATTAAGTACATTATTAAGTACAAGATTAGTTGGGAAGAGGTGAACTTCTCGTCCGATAGAATTCTTTCTGACATGTCGTCAATACCACGACCCTCATAACACCTAGCAAGCAAAATAATACAGTTCAGATTTCGTCAACGATACCACATTGGTACAGACAGAACTGGCCTCAAGGACGAAAGACTTTACGCGCAGCATACGAACCATGATATCTTACTTATTATAAAATGCAGATTGTGTGTGTGTGTCTGTACGTTTATATATTGGATCGTATTTCCTACATTTTTCAACCGATTTCATCAAAACTTCACAGGACTACATAAAATTACATTGCGGTGGTTCTGACAGCACCAAAAATTGGAAAAACGCAATTATTTTGGCATGAAATCAATTTGAAAACATGATTAAGAGGCATTAATGAAAGGGGAACAACTCATATCGAGTTATACTTATTATAAAACCCAGGTTGGTTGTTTGTGTGTGTGTTCATTTATATATGGGATCGGATTTCCTACATTTTTCAACCGATTTCAACAAAAATTCACTTTTTTTTTTGGCAGGTAGTGTTTCTTATTGTCTTGCACATTTTTTTCTTTATTTTTACATTCAGAATGCTTTAAAAATTCCATTTACAAGACAAATGTTTATAATAAAATTCCATTCAATCAGTAGACTCATAACGATTGAAAACAATGTTTTTGTTTGAGTTTGGGTTTGACCAATTCATAAAAAAAAAATAATAATAATTAAGACATGCGTGTCCGTCAACCTAAAACAATAACCTTTGTCAATTTTATTTTTCAGTCTTTATGATGGTCGATACTTGTTCTATCTCTTACTGTTACATCCTCGGGCAACGCCGGGGTCTACTGCTAGTCTTTAATAAACCTGCACAACGGGACTACGACACAGCAGTGAAAGAAGGTGTAGTGCACTGTCCCCACCGCCTCACCGAAACGAAAGCAGTTTGGAAATTTTTCCAATCCCACCAGAGTCTTTTGCCGACCCAGAGGGCCCTTCGAATCACCATTCAGGTGAGAGATGCCTCATCATTTCAACCCCGGCCCCCAAACCATATGGATCGAGCCTTTTGCATCGTAAGACCAAACTCGTCTATCAAATCATCTTGAACGAACTCCCTATAAGAGGTGCTTGAGGGCAATCCGACATTTACGGTAAATGGAGCATTCACCTCAGAATATACGGTAGGGGGTCCTCCTCACACGAGTGCACAATTCCCAGTAATTTAACATCTCCCGAGGAGACACATTTGTTGTGCTAAAACACGATTTCTATTGTGTAACGATTTTTTGCTTTAATTTCTTATAATAAATTATATATATATATATATATATATATATATATATATATATATATATATATATAAAGAATGTCACACCTGTGACTCATGTGGGCAAATCTGTCTATCTAAGGCTGGTCTAGTGAGTCATTTCCGTAGGCATGGAGATTGTATCCCTGATGCACCAAATCCACATGTATGTGTCTTTTATAGCAGAGTATTTAAAACCCTATCCGGACTTAAGAGTTACATTCGTGCGTACAATCTCTCTGGTGCGTGCGTGTGTGTGATTTTTGTAACAAGACGTCGTCTTACTCGTGTGCAAGTTGACAGCAATTGTCAATTGTCAAATTGTCAGTAAGGTCACTTTGAGGTTATAGTTCTGGGCGGGGGAGGAGATCTCGGCATGAGGCACCTTTGTAAAATCCCTGAAAACCATAGCACGGGATGGCCCAAGTCATGTGAAAATCCTTGTCTAACTTTCCTCTTTGAATTGAGTCTCTGTTGAATATGTATATAACCCCGTCTACAGTTTCTGCTATCATCTCTGATCTGGATCCCCACAAAGCACGTAGACTTGATGGTATCCCTCTAATAGTCCTTAAGAAGTGTTCTCCTGAACTGGCTCCTGTTCTCTCTAAACTGTATAATACATGCCTTACTGTTTTCTGCTTTCCAGCTTGTTGGATATCCTCATCAGTTGTTCCAGTTTTTAAGAACTCAGGTGAACCGTCCGACCCTTCCAACTATCGGCATTTCTACCGCTTTTTTGGTGACTACTACAGGCCCTAATCAATGCTGCATTGGTTAAGCATCTCACATTGCAAAGTCTTCTTTCGTGCATGTAATATGGCTTTCGTTTCTCCTGGTCATCTTTTGATGTATTAACGATAATTGCCGAAATAGTTTACACCTTTCTCAACAGTAAGTCTGATCAGGTCTGATGTCAAAAACCACCTTTAATCTGTTGTTAACTGGAGTAAAGAAAGGCTTGTTAATTTTAATGCCTCCAAAACTAAACTGCTCTCTAATAATTATATCAGAGACTCTTTTCTGCCTTTCATCAGCATGGCTGATGCTAACCTCATGGAGAATGACTCGTTGCGCTTTCTCGGGCAAACATTCTCGGCTGACGTGAATTGGAAAGACTATATTAAATCCATTGGTCGGTGAGCTGCTAAGGAAGTTGGTTCACTGTACGTTGCTAGACAATTTTTCTCTCTAGAATCTATCTTACATATCTATAAGTCTCCTATTCGTCCATTCTTCGAATATTGTTGTCACATATGATCAAGCATACCTGCTATATATTTAGGGATTCTTGATGAAATCCAAAGATGAATCTCCTCAGTCATTTTCTCATCGCCGAAATTTGCCCCCCTGAGCCTTTTCTATCAATATTTTCGCAGATGAGCTCTTTGTATTTAAACGCAGCGACAAGATTCTCATCAATTTACAGGTGAATTGGCAAGATGTCACCCTAACATCTATGCTAACAGTTTCTTTCCTCGTTTGTGGAACTCTCTTCCGTCTCCATTCTTTCTAATTAACTTTAATCTTCAAAAATTTAAATGCAATGTCGGTCGCTGTCTAATGTCTTTCTGAATACTCTTCTTGTTCATTAGTAATGTTTATTTTCTACTTCTTACACGCCTGTTATTCTCTTGTGTCTTAGTGGCTTTACTGCTTTGAGGTGAATTCGATTTTAATATGTGTGTGTGTTCTTTGCTTTATGTGTCAAGAGATAGAATCTATCAGAATGGGTAGAAAATAAATAAAATATTTCTTTCTTTTTTTTATCCTTGCGTTCTCCGTGTCGACAGCATAAGATTGGGGTAAATGATGTCGATAGAGTTATAAATTATTGGAAATTGTTCGCTTTTAAGCAAATGAAGCCTAAACGACGAAATGTATAATCGGATACATTTTCGAAACAGTATAATTTCATGAACGTTTTCCAATTATCAATAATTTATAATTCTGTCGACATCATATGCCCCAATTTTATGACA